GATGGCTGGGGAGTGACTTACACTCCTACTGAGGTCTGTGCTGTAAAAGGATCAACAGTTAACATGCGCTGCAGCTACACATACCCATCTAGAATATGGCACCGTGATATCAGGAACACATTCTGGTTTAAAGAGAAAGATGGTGAACCTGTGAATCTGAGAACAGACTCTGAGTATTCAGGTCGTGTGCAGTACTATTGTTATGAGAAGAAGTGCACTCTGAGAATCAGAGACCTGAGAGAGAGCGACTCAGCTGAGTACAAGTTCAGATTCATGACAAACAAACGAGGTGGGAAATATACTGGTTCACCTGGAGTCACTTTGTCGGTCACAGGTAACATTTGCTTTTCAAATGTTTGATAAGAAACATTACTATCAGCTTGTGTTTTTCTTTCCTCTTTCTTTGTGTGTGTCAATAGTGGATTTTAAATTACCGTCTCTGTTGGTTAATCACAGATCCACAGCTCCAGATAAATGTGAGGAGATCAACACTGAATTCTACCTGGACAGAGCTGACATGTCAGTCTAAGTGTCAGCTGCCTAAAGATGTGTCTTACATCTGGTACCAGAATGGAGAGAAAAGGAAGGAAGTAAAAGTTTATTTTCATCCACACCCACTAAATCCTGCAGACAACTATTCTTGTGCCATAAAAGGACACAAGATGTTCTCCTCTCCTTCAGTGTGTGAGTTTCACCCAAACATGTTTCAGCTCTTACACATCTTTAGTTCCTCTTTAACATGAACATTCATTTTCAATCCTTCAAAGCCTTGTTTTATTACCTCCACACAAATATGAATGTGGGATAGTTTTACCCAGAAAAAAAGGAAATGATGTTACTCTACTGCTAGAAGTGCAGAAAACGCCATCAGAAACAGACTCTGAAAAATCCTTTTGACCACGGTGAAAGGGAAAGTTCAACCCCAAATCAACAGGAATGGTTCCGACATGGAACTGTGGATTAACTTGAGTAACCGGGTTATGATTTCTGGAAAGAGACATTGCTGTTTAATTTTTCATATGTATTTGTTGTCACTTGAGCATAACAAGCCGAGTGGCATTTAGTTCCATTATATTGAAGAGGAGACAGACATCTAAACGTACGAAATCTCCAACATGATGCAACTCACACCAAAACAATCTAGATGAATAGATAGAACTACAGGGAAAAGGAAATATGTATTTTTAATTTGGGGTTGAACTTTAACTTTAAATTGAAGCTCCTGAATCAGCACTCTGGACAGCGGCAACAGTCAATTATTAAAATTCTTTAATGTCTTCCTGAATAAATAGTTCTCTTGAACATGCAAACTATTAACAAATTAAACTGACTATGTTTTATCATAACATTCTCATGTTTATTCTTTTCTCCTCCAGATGCTCCAAAGCTTCCCTCTGTGTCAGTGAGTCC